TCCGGGTGCATGTGGATTCCAGGTGGCAGTCGACGTCTGTTGGCACGAAATGCTTCCAGAGTTGCAGCCGCCATATGGGAAGATGGGAAGGTTATCTTCATTAGACGGGGTCTAGAATCACCATCCTTCTTGGCTAGTCTCGTCACATGCTGAGTCAGCATGTTTTTGAGCCTCAAGGACTGTTTGATGAATTTCCATTCCCTAATGTCAGTCTTTGATTAAGTAGGGTCCGTATTTTCCGGTATACCTTGCACGATTATATTCCTCCCGCGGAAAAACTGATCGCGAGTTTCTTTGGGGATGTTCCGGATGATATTGCGCTCAGAATACGGTATGTCAGGCAGTATTCTTACATTCCCATCTGATTTCAGTAAATGACTCGCTAGTAAGACATCCTCTACGTCGGTAGCATTCTTAAGTGTTACTCGAAGAAGCCTCGGGTGATTTTGATGCTTAGATTCCTTTCCCCGAGTGAGCCGTGTGACTGTCAAAGGCTCTATTCTTGGAAGTCCAAGTTTCTTGTTCAATTTTCCCCAGAGCATCCTATCATTTTTGTCCTGCAGACTGAGAGGAAGGTCAGGGTTGTCTTTGAAGTTCATGACTATGAGAGAGTCATCACGAACCGTTATTGTCGTCCCAGGTTTTCCGGTGCGTTCAGGTTTAGCACCTTGTTGTTTGGGGTCGAAGCACGTTTATTAATCCTTGGCTCTTTGATGACCGGACGGACAATCTTGGGGGTAGACTGTGCGACCAGATCACCAGTCGACTTCTGTTCAACAGCTGGGATGTTCAACTTAGACTGTGACACCTGGCCCTTTTTAGCTCTTTTGACATGGGTCCAATCACCTACAGAGTTTTTGGGAACCACTGTCGCGTTCAAGGACCTTGAGCTGTGAGACCCGAGTTTGCTGAGGGAGTCGAGTACCGTCGTCGTAATCATGGTGCTGAGTTTCAGCGTGCCATCATTAATGCTGTTGCATGCTCCGTCGTTGGTAGACCTGTCGACATCCCTGTTCTCGTTTTTAATGCACTCTCTTGTTTTCTACCCATTTTTTGACTGTCTTTTCCCAGGTTTGCAGAAAACGTGCTCTGCAGACCTGTCAGTAGGACAATGATATTACCCAGCAAGACTGCAGCATCCATGCTGCACGTAACACATTCCCACTTATGATCCGACTTGCCGAGTCTGTTATAAGCAGTTGCTGTGAGATCTGTGCACGCTTCGTGGAACTAACCTTTGCGGTTGTCGCATTGCATGCCAGATGTAACAGAAAAACGGCATCGAGGTCGTTTGCATGAATTTTTCATGACTGTGTTGACGTAAACTGTGTTGTAGATGCTAGCAAAAGCCTAAGACCGTAAAAAATACACTAAAAAAAACACTGAAAACGGACAAAAATGGATAAAACGGATGAGATAAACTGAACTAGTCATTACGTGAAAAAGTGAAAAAAAACCGAATAGTAAGCTGAGGCAAAACCACAGTTAACTATTAAATTGGATGAAACTCAAAAAAAGTAATCTACCGAACGTTTAGCTCAGGATAGATTCTTTTGGACAGAAATGGTACTTTTGTTGCGTAAGAACACAGCAAAAGTTTGATAAATGCAAATCACGTTAGGACTAAACTTCCCGTTCGAAAATCGCGGTCATGGTATGCATCAACAATCTAAAGTGAATTGCCTGGTTTAAGAATATCAAATAAAAGAGAACGAGAACGGGGAACAAATGATGTGGGATTGAAAAAAAGAAGTCTGAGACCACTGACTGACATTTTGTAAATTAAGTATTTACTGCATTATTTCCAGATTTTACTAAGACGTTCTGTAATTCTGTATTCAAATACATCCAAATGTCCCCACTTATGTTCTCGTTTATTACGTCTGATAATCAATAAGGATATCACAACAGGATGGAATCAGAAATCCACCCACCGGTATTTAAACAACAGCTCACAGAAGAAATTCAAAGGTCCACAGCCATCGACTAGACCATGCCATAACCTTGATTCCAGTCAGAGATCAAATTATTTTAGTGGCTAAGTAACGTGCAACAACAGAATTATCAATGAAAGTTGTGATAGATCCCAGTGAAAAAACTTACTAAATATGTAACAAAACGAACAGTTACTAATGATATATCAAAAAAGGATTAACACTACAAGCTGAAGTGTCTGTTCATGCGTAAAGCAAAACGGTAACAAACGACACAACAAAATTGTTTATTAAGTAGCAGAATAATAATTGTTATAGAATGAATGTTACTTGTGAGCTCCCTCTGAAATAACAACCAAAAACGAATCCACTTGATTAACAAAGGTCCCTCTGTACGTGTGGCGCCAACGCTTGTTGGGAAATATAGGTCTGTTAGTATTACTCAGTAGAAATCCGGGCAAAAGCTCCAATGTAATGTAAAATGGCCTAACAGTATCTTAAAACACCATCATAATCTTCAATCACACGTCGGTGCCAATAAAGTAGAACAGACGATAAAGAAAGAATTTATTTCTAGTCAGCGGTAGTGTGTATTAGTGCAACGAAACAATTGTATCCATCTTTACAATTGATACAGAGGAACAATAGACATTCAGTAGTAACCCAGTACCATACCAAGTTCCAAAAATAAAGAAAAAGTGTGATCTTTGTTTTTTTGTCACGAAATTTAATGAATATACGTGTCACCATAAGGCATACCCGCAACCAAAATCCGACAACAAAAGTCCAGACAAAAAAGAGTGAAGGAAATAAAACGTGATTACAAAAGCCCTGAGTAAAAGTTGAAATGCAAGACAGGGGAAAAGAATGAAGAAATAAATATACTGTTAAATGAAACACTTTTGGGAAATTTTTAGCATATTCTTTCTGTTACATATGCTATTTCGCTTGCCTTCCTAATACACACGGTGTCTTCTTGCTGTAAGGTAGCCACTACATGCATGGTTCATCCATGCAGAACTGAGGATTAACTCTTAAATTTATTTTGGTTACATTATTCTGCCACCAGCTCAAATTAGTTATTCTAAGGTTCCCATAAAACAGTTGTCTTCAGTGTATGGTGGGTCAGGATAGAGAGTAATGTGGCTTCAGCGTAAGACAATACAAATTAGGCAGCCACAACATTGAAGATGCCACAGGTATTTGGAGTTTGACAACGCTTTAACCAGTAACACGCAATATGAATCGTACACAACATGTGAAATCAAAAGACAGAAGCGAGGGTGTTCGAAGATATATTTCAAAGGCTACCAATATATCGAGGATCGTCTGATCTAATCTGGCTAGCGACTGCGGGAGATGTTGAGCATGGAGTTCCCACTGGTGATCTGGTGCGGATGCATGAACGAGCCCTAGCGAGTCCATTAAAACTAATGTGGTCAGCATCTGATGTCGAAGACTTATAAAGATATTGATTTTGGGGTTTTATTTACCGCTACAACATGAAAAGTCCTAAATGTCAGATTAAATATATTATTGTGGGCATCGATTTCAAGGTTGGACATGACAATTTTAAATGAACTGAGCAATGAGTAGGAAGTTAATGAGAAGTATATTTTTGGTTACATCCCAATGAGTAGCGAAATCGTATTTCTGATGTTTCGTGACTAAATGTAAGCCACTTTTCAGAGTAAATAAACGACTGAATTAAATGAACACAACGCATAATATTTTTAATACAACCAAAATCATAAGTGGGTAAATCTTTTACTTTAGTGGCGTAGACAGGTGTACTATACTTTCCTCCACCACACTACTGTGGTGCCAGTGCTCGTTACCGACAAAGCTGTTTTTCAACTGCCTATTAACCTTAAACCTGACGAGTCACCGAGCCCTGATGAGTTACATCTACTATTGCTGTCATTCCTCGCGGACTGTATTCCAAAACCATTCACTATGATGGTCAACATCCCTCTCTTTCAAGCTCATCTCTCTATGGATCGGAAAGATATTTTCATTAGGCCTTTACTTAAAAACGGAAAATGACAGATTGTGTCAACAACCGTCAGTCCGACTAGCACAGCAGTTAAGGTATTTTGAAAAACAGTTCGAGAAAGTCACCGAGTCAAGCAGGATCATAAAATTTGAGTGTTAAAATGTTCCAACCTTTGGATTCCTCCAGAACTAGTCATCATCGAGGTGACCGCAGGAAGGCTTGTAGTGTGGCGACGAGTCGCGGTTGACTATAATCACCACTACAAGAAGATTGTGTACCAGAACAGGCTAAACCTCCGAGTAAATCAGAAATCAGAAGGCGGTTGAAGGTCGTAACAAGACATATTTGTTGACGATCTCGTGATATCACACTAATACCGATATCGTGCCACAGGAGTACAAGCGGAACTACTGAGCAAACGTAAGTTCGTGCAAGGTCACAATCAACGGAAGAATGTATGCTTTTAGTAGTTAAACAAACAAGTACAGTAAAATAATCCCTACTACGATTGGTTATAATATTAGTTGTTTCCACTAAACCAATCGCATTTTCTTGATAAAATAGGTCACTACAGGCTCAAGAACCGAGATTAGACGAACTCAGTGATTCCGTTTTTTTCCATTGAGTAGTCAATAACTGGAGCACCATACCGGCCTAGTCAGTCGATTATTTCAGGGAGAAGCCTGGTAACCACTTGAAAACAAACTTCAAGGACTAACATAGGTCGAAAAACGTACTATATTTATTACTGAGGACTGTATGTTGTCCTACCATACATACAGTGTATGAGTTGTTGAATCTCATAAAAAATGGGAAGGATTAGTTCGCGATAAGTGGCCGATAAATAACTTCCAGAAATTAAATAGAACTAGGGTCAAGGATTGTACCTTATGGAGCCACACTCTTCAGAGAACCTCATGTTTATCTAACCAGTTTGTTGTTACTTTCTTCAGATTCAGAAAAAAGACCTATACTATTTCATAATCGAAAACACTTTCCTAACAGCAATATGCGAATCCAAATGAACACATTGTTTGATAATCCCAACTTCCAAAGTTTGAGGTTCGAGTCTTTTGAAGGTCGGTTGGTTGCGGATTTATAGTTATAGCGTTACAATGGAAGTCCTCCAACACCTTCGAGGACCTGTACCTACTACAATGAGAGAAGTCAGTGCCTTGTCCCAACTAAACCTTGATGAAGATGTTCCATCAATTCAGGGAGCTAATTTCCCCATATTGTTGCAGGTAATTATTCGGTTCATTAGACTCATTTCTTGTCAGTCCAACACTGATACGAATTTTAGTGATATAACCGCATTTAAATCCGCTTTTGCGCGTTCTGCTGAAGATGCAAGGGTTTACTCACACCTCAATACTCTGCTTGAACAAGGACAAGAGTACGCGATTATGCTGTACACATGGAGGTCGATATCTAGAGCTCTTCCATTTGTAAGTTCATAGCTCAGATATTATTCTCAGTAGATCCGATCAAGTGACCAGCCAAATAGAATAAAGATATATGAAAAAACGAAGGAGATATTAGAACCGCATTGTCTAAAATTGAAACAGTTCATGTTCTTTCAAGTAGGTTGCCGAAGAGCACTTCATCAAATTTACTAGGATGCAGCTATACGGAGGTTTGTGGAAGAAGTAAAACGTTTGGCTCATAAGGATCAGAAAAACTTCTTCGTAAACCAGGCTTATCTCGTCACACTTGGGAAAATGATAAAAATGTTTGCTCTTCTAGATGAAATGAAGAACATGAAGGCAAGCATGAAAAATGATTATTCTAACTACAAAAGGTGTGTTCATGTTAATTTCTTATCGATAATCAGAGCCGCCCAGTTTCTACAAGTTAACGATCCCGATTCTCACGACGTGAGTATATTCTTGGCGAAGCAAAAAATCATTCGTGATACACTAAAAGAAAGCTTGATTGCAATTGATGGCTATGAGGACCTTTTGATAGAAATCATTCACAACAGCGCTCAAATGTATGAAAACAAGGTTTATATCCTTCCTGAAGAGAAACACACTCATGTTATAGTAAATCTGGGTTTAGTTCTCGTTCACGTCTTTAGGTTATAGCTTTTTCCCTTTATCTTCTCGATTCCGGTCGTATAGTTGATGGTAAGCAAGTAGGTGTTTGCCTGAATAAAATTGCAAAACGTCTAAACATTGGTAAATTAGATCGGATTTTAAAGGTAAGCCAGATTTGTTCCTTAATTTAATTTCTTAGGAATGTGAAGTTGTCAATCTGTTCGGTGATATGAGTGTGGAACCATTTTCATATATTCGTCAAACAGCGTCATTTGATCCATCTAAATGGCCAGAGTGCAATAGTGCTAAAGTTTCTGGTCAGGGAGTGATCTTAACGCACATGGCGAGATTTCAGTAGGTATTACGTGATATTTCTGCTTTTGCTTGGTTTAACTCAAATTGTTTGTTCGTCCCATCACAGCCTAACCAGGCATACATTTTCCCCATATAAACCACCCACTTTCCATCAAGCACCGAGTACTTTAAAAGGTAACTAGGTTTTCTCAAGTTCGACCTCCTCCCTACTATTTCTTCAGACCCATCGATCGCCTCCATTTTCTTTGGTCGTAAGGTTGGCAAACAATATGCAGTTTGTAACCATTCGAACAATTTACGAAAGGGAACACGCAAGCTACTAGATTCTGTGTCCAAAGATTGGATAATGCAGTTATTTTCACCATCCCCAAACACACTTAGCTAGAGCTCGGGATTTGCTGTGTATTGTTACTATGTGAGTACCACTACCCGGGACAATATTCAGCATCCAACCTTTCATATATAGGTTAAATTTGTGGTGGTGGTTGGGTTTGACGTGAATCATTCTGGCTTTCGTTGTATTAAGACTAAGCCCAGCTAGAAAGCCTGAACGAGAGCCTACTAAGCTACTGGAATACATATACCTCTCATCGACTGTACAGTTTCACTATCCTTTTAGATCTCTTCCGCAAAAGCCTGTAACACCACTAGGATGTTAAAATTTTGATCGTTGAAGGATTATTTAAACCGTTGATCTGGTAGAAATTGATGTGTTTAGATCAATGAGCTATAGCTCTATTCGTACTAAGGAGTTTCAAGACATTTCAATAAGTTTTGAATAGTTAATATAATTAGATGGAGTGGAGATAATAACCTTACAAATAGGTGCCTTCAGGTTTCTCAGCGTTTTTGATTGATTTTAATAAAATAGAAGAAACCACTGGAAGTATGAAACACGGGTAGTATCTCGGTTGTTCACGTATGATCATACTAAAAATCTGACAAAACCCTGAAGTAGCAAATGATTAGCGGGTGTGACGATATCCTTTTCTTATCCATGTCTGTGCTCCTATCAAAATAGTCAGATAAAGTATATGAGTTGTATCATATTAATAACTTGGTCACGTTTTGTCGAAATCAGTTGTAGTGTCACTTTGAAATTAATAATGATAGCTATATTCGACACTATGTTTGGTACAATGAAGAATTTTGAATATGAAATATTAAAGTGAATTTATTAAATATTCAAAGATAAATATGTATGGGTAGCCCTTAAGAGTTTTACTAGTCATGGGATGAGTTACATTCATGTTGCTAGTTTGTATCACTAGTTTAAGTTAATTTTCAACCTAATTCGTACCAGATATTGTGTTGGCCACTGTCATTCCTTATCATTTAAGGAGAAAATATACCGTAACCATTTAATGGATACGTGATTAGTCGTAATTTAGTGGTTAAAAGACTTGGCTTCCAAGTATAAGGTCTTTGGTCCGAAACTAGCTCCATTTCAGTTTGGACCGCTGGATAAGTTCATTATCCGTCCTACATAAAAAGTTGGTGCAAAACCGAATCCATAAATTTGTACGTGATAAACCAGTTGCCATTTTAGTAGTGATATACTCGTGTACAGGACAATCAGTGAGTATATTTTTAAATTGCGATTTTATCTTTGTCATTCACTATGCTTCTAAACACTCAAATTTATTGTACACCACAAACTAGCTCATAATATCAATACTATTTCCACTTTATTGCACAGAACGGTACCCGTAAAAACTTCATTAACGTTAAAAGTCACATAAAACATCTCACATCATGATCCCTTTATATCTATCTATCTATTTGTCTTAAATGCTTTTTGATAATGAAAATTCTGATTTCAGAGAGGAATATACTTCATTGACATCCGATTTAGCTTGGCATACAAATACAACGTCGATTCGTTTAAATGAACGTTCTGCCAAAGAAAACCAAGAACTTTATGATCTTGCACTTCGAGGTCTTCAATATTTATCTGGTTGGTCTGTACAAGTGTTAGACACATTTTCATGGAAGCTTGCTCACTGTGCCAGCGGTTTCACAAACCATGAGTGCCCAAAAGATGCTGAGAATTATGAAAAAGTATGCTTTGACTATATTCTCGTGAATATGAGGTTCTTTTGAATAATGATACTATTTTGAGCTTTTTTAATACCTAACTAAATTGAAAAAAACTACTAAGTCTGGTGCGCTAATAATTCCTGCCAAATTAACACATTATTTGCAAAGTGACAAAAAAGGTGCTGAGTAAAGCAAATTCATTCAGTACTCCTAAGATTTGCCACTAAAGTTTCACACTATTTTCAGTGTTATTCACCTATAGTCATGAATTTTCATCACGTATGATTTGGTTCGCGGTATATTCCTCCCTGTTTGTACCTTTTCTGTCGAAAATGCTACTCTTTCTCAACGGTCACTCCATAAAATGACATTTGAGTTGTAAAATACAAAGAATAGGCGTTAAACGTTGTTCATAGGTGTCACATTGATTTATGATTTATTTTGATACTATTTTCCAGCGACTGCGATCGGGGTCCAGGACACTCATCTTACCTCATTAAAAGTGAGAACGGGATTATCTCCCAGTTACTCTTGCCTTCCGAATTGGGACTTATACCTGAGACACACCAACTACCAAAGCACCTTGTTCGGAAAGCTACTAGTGTCTGAACCACGGGCCCTGTATTTGGTATATAATCTGCCAGTTTACATTTTTCAGTCACAAGATTTTAACCGTGATATCTCTTCGTTTCTTGATAGTAATCTAATTTTGTTAATAACAACACGGTGTGATCATTAAACTAAGCTATTTAATGTTTTGATGCAAACAGCCAGTAAGTGTTTGTTAGTACTCCTAGGCAAACATCTTACCAATTATGTGGCTCTAATATGTTCAAGTTGTAGCTTAATCGTGACCCTATCCTTCTCAGCGGTTGTAGATACTTCTATCTGTTAGGTAGTAGTTAGGGAAATTGTAACTCAGTTCGTCTAATTGCTAAAAGATAACATTTTAATGAGCTTTTCACAGTTATGAGAGATGTGCATTTAACAGTCCATCTACTCCTGTGGAGCAAGACATATAGTCCGCAGACAGCATTCAGTCTAGCAAGTATGAGGGAAAAAATGCCAACCTGGTTCCATAAGGGCATGAGTTAGGCGGTTCGAAGTCCAGTCTTTGAAGATTTATTTGACTGTGATCACTCAACTAACATACATGTTAATCTTTAAGTTGTTTAAAAAATCCGTCCAAATATACCAAATATCACCTTTCTGAACTCATTTCCATCATCCAGAATATATTCATTTGTTTTCTCGTTTCCTTCAGGCCACTCGTTATAATTACAATTCAGAAGAAAGATTTGCTATGATTGAAATAATCAGTATGATTAAATCTGTTCAAACACAACTTTTACGATTGGAAGCTTGTTATTCAGAAGCGATTGGTCGTTCTGTTTATCGAGAACTACAGGCGATTGTTGTCGGCCAATTAAGTGCTCCATTGCTTAAAGCACAAAAGAAAAAAGAACGAATCATGCTGGCACGTTTAATACTTGCGATTCAAGCGACATGTGCTGATCAAGTATGCATAGTATAATATCGTAACTGTTTTATCGGTGAAGAATGATACTAAAATAATAAAATGTAAACCAATTTTTAAGGGTGTTTAGAATTATATTTAGGAAGTATTATTACGTTGATGTCGAAAAGCTATTCTGATTTTTTTCTTTCAACTAGTTGTAGTTACATGTTATTTCTGTTCAACACGGGAAAGTGATTTTCAGTGGCATTTAAAATTAAGTCGTGATATATATTAGAGGTGACTAAAGTTTAAAATACCAATTGTTTGAGTAATGTTTTATGGCTTTTATGTTTAACATAAGTAGTATTGGTTGACTTGAATTTGACCGAACAAAGACCATGGATAGTGTGTTTCAAACTCATATTGTAAACTTTAAAGAGATAAAGTATTGCCTATGGACTTTTATTTAAATCTTCTCATAGGTATCTTATTAGAGGTAAAGTTCATCGTCTCGTTTTGATTTCTTACTTTGAGACTAACTAAATCCAAGCTTATAGATAACATAATCCTGTGTATTAAGATTCTTAAGAAAAACGTAGTCCTTTGCATGTCTTGAGTGACAGTGCAATATTTTTTGGGATAGATCTACCCGTTCCTTATGTGTGAGATGTTGCTTCATGAGTGATCTACAATAATTCATAGTATGACTATAGAAAGGGAAATAACTGAAGGCCTTGTTCGGTTCGCTTATTTTGAAAGTCTCATCAACCCTAGTGGATTAGTGACTAGCAAAATCTTGTTACGTTTTCAAAAAGCTGCCAACTTTCGTCAACTTGTACAATCTGTTGCTCAGGAGAGATGTTCATCTGTCTATTAAGGTGTGAGTATACTACCCATCAGCTTGGTCTATATGAAAAACAATATTTAGAGGTAAAAGACACGTGTAGATTTCAAGTGTTTGATCTTATGTTCTCGAACCATTGTTTATATATGGCGGAATCACCAAATCAGACTTGCTAAGGTTAGATCAAGTAGAAGCCTGGAGTTTCTATCAGTAACTTGCTAGCTACTGCTTTTCCAAGATTCCTTAGCTTTCCAGTAGCCCGTCATTTTAACGAGGACTCCGTGCTGATGGTATTTTCCAAAAAAAAACAATGGGAGCTTCACAATTAAATCATCCAATTTAGAGAACATAATACCTCCAACAAGTACATTGTCATCCGTAACTTTGTCATTAAACTCTACTTTTTATCATTATTTTTTAATAAATCAGTCCTTGAAAATATGACTTCCATTTAGTATATGTTCTAAAGAATAAATCTAACAATAGAAAGGTTAAAAACTTGTGAGGCACATTAAGTCGATGTCTTTTACAGTATTTAAATTCTTTGCTAACTAGAAACAAGTGAAAGTCTATTTAAACCCACATTTACCGAACAGCTATGACTTGAGAATGTAGCACAACCAAATACTCCCATACTGTATATTGTAAGCCCTTGTAATGTGTAAACAGGTTATGTTCATCAGTGGATCTGTATCGTTCAACCCATGTTTATCTCGTTAGTTGGCTCACAGTCATTAACACCGATAATTATTATGCAAATTTTAGTGTCATCATTACTAGTACCAAACACATCAAACTTTCCCACCTAAATATATTTTTATTCTACCAAAAACATGATAGCATTTCACCAATAAACATTCTTTAGTTTTGTATTAGTCGTTTTCTGGGATACAGATTCTCTCAACAACTTTTATTCTCATCACAAGATTAAGTCAGAACGACTCAATCCCGATCCCTTACTTTTTTCCTCTCAGATATCCGACACAATGGATTTGGATATGATGATGCACACTAGTAGCAGTAGTGGTGGTGGTACAACAGGATCCAAATCATGGGGTAAAGCTGCTTCTTCAAAACTATCGAATTCAAGCAATAATAATAATCATAATAATAGTATGACTACAGGGTCGAATTCTACGATGGCTACTGTCGCTGCTTCACTAGCCAATAATAATGACAGTCCAACAGGCTCGATTAGTACAAGTAGTATATTTGATTCAAATAAACGTCGAGTTGGTCCATCATCTAGTCAATTGTATTTAGTACGAACTATGTTAGAATTAATGGTTGAACAAGTTTCATCAACCAAACAAATGATACGAAAAGAATTGGACACTGCAACATTATCAGCGATAGATACATTTCTTAAGCATAGTTTTTATTGGCCATATCTTCTGAATTTCAGTGGTAATGTGAAAGTATTTATCAATTTTATCCATCTTTAATTTTATTTATACAAGTGTAATTTGTAGTTGTTCATGCAAATCTGTTTATGTATAATTAATCACTAATTTTAAGTGTAGGTGACTTTCTACTGGATAAGTAAATAAATGTAAGCTGACTTCCTAACTTTAGGAATGTGTGTTACGTATGTCCAACCACTGCCGACCTCGACATGCGATGTTCGCCTAATAATAGGAATAGGTTGTAAAAAAACTAGGGGCGGCTAATCAAAAACTTAGAATCAGTTCGTGAACTCATTGGCCGTTAGGGTGGGTCGTGCTGATAGGCACAGATTATTCGTGATTATCCTAATCATTAGTTGTAAAGTCAGTCAGTAACAACGTAGAACTTCGTACGTATGTTCATCAGTTCGAGTTGCCACACCACATTAGCATAGAGATGCAGTGGTCGATTCAAATCCCGTAGTGGTAGAGGTAGGAAGAGTATAAGCAGTAATCGGAACACATTAGGGTTTGAAGATGTTATTCAAGGAGTATAATACAGTGAAATAAATTTGGAAAGGAAATGAAAGACATGAAGAATTCAGAAGATTAGAATTTGGGAGAACACAAAGAGTGGATGCACCTGCGCCATTGCAAACGATTTTGAGCCATGTCATTCAGGTCTCTAACCATCGGTTGCTATCATCTCGCGGTCCCCAACCAGCTAGTCTACACCTACCAACATGGCTCAGTCCACTTGTCAGTGACTTCATGAATTTGTACCATGTTTTGGTCTGGCAGCCCCTAGCTTTCTTCCAACCTACTACTGCACCACTGAACATCGCACGTGGAGGCAGTCGGTGGTTGGGCATACGTAACACGTGTCCAAGCCATCTCAACTGATGAAGTTTCACTATTTCACCAATGGATTTGCCATCCTTACCTAGTACCCGTTTCCCAACAACTGCATTAATTACTCGGTGGTCCCACGATATACGAGCAATGTTTCGAAGACACCTATGATCAAATACTAGTAACCTACGAATATCCTCTACTCTTACCGGCCATGTTTCACTGCCATAAAGTAGGACGGAACGAACTGCTGCGCAGTAAACCCATCCTTTGGTTGATAGACGGATATCTCGCCTATGCCATAAATGACACAAGTTGACGAAAGTTAGTCGAGCCTTCTGTATCCGTGCTGAGATTTCGTCACACACCAGACCACAAGGGCTGATGAGACTTCCAAGATAAGTAAAGCGGTCGACACGCTCAACTACTTCACTCTCTATCATTAGTTCGGGTGTCGATGCAACCCAATCCTGAAGCAACATTTTGCATTTCGAGGGAGAGAATCGCATGCCGAACATGCTTGCATTGTTGCTTAGTGGTCAGAAGACTCTGCATTTTGTCAGCGTCTTCACTAAATAGAACTATGTCATCGGCATATTTTAGGTCAGAAAGTGAATCTCCCGGTAGAAGTTCAACCCCTGGAAATTTATTTATTTATTTATTTGAACACATGAATATTGGTACAAGAGAGCGCCAATATATATGCGCCACACAAAACAATGAGAATTCGAAGAGAAATAGAAAAGAAAAAAAAACTAAGGAGCGCAAAAGAAAAAGAGAACAATAACGAAGAGATTGGTGTAAGGTAGTGTGGTAGTAACGAGAGAACGGAAAGGTACAATCAGAAGAAATCTTTCAGGTAAAGGAGACACAACCACTTTTTATGAAGAAAGTAAAAGAAGGTTACAGCAGGATCGCCACTGGCTTCTATTCTGAGCCATATCTGATAACGTCTCTAGCCACTGTGTAGCACCATCTCTCAGACCCCAACCAGGGAGTCGTGAAGGACCAACACAAGCCAGTCCTTTGCAGCTTTCTTTCATGCCACGACACCATGTCATGCACTGACCACCTCTCCGCTTCTTCCAACCAGTCCCAGAGTCGGCAAATAATGCACGACGTGGAATTCTCTGGGACGACATTCGGAGAACATGTCCAAGCCACCGAAGTCGGTGTTTCAAGATGGTGACACCAATTGAATTATCATCTCTGTGCCCGAACACACGATGCCGAACCTCTGCATTACTGACATGGTGTTGCCACTGAATGTCAGCAATCCTTCGGAGACAGCGATGATCGAACACAGAGAGTCGTCTAACGTCCTCAACTCGGAGAGGCCAGGTTTCACAAGCATAGAGCAAAACTGCTCTCACCGACGCGTTGTAGATCCGACCTTTTACAGCCAGACTAACATCACGAAGGCGCCAAAGGTGGCCCAGATTGGCATAAGCCGCTCTGGCTTTCACTATTCGTGCATTGATCTCATCACTCACACCCCCACCAGCACTTATGCAGCTACCCAGATACACGAACTTCTCGACTACGTCTATCTGCTCACCATCCAGGGTGAGTACAGGATTAGAATCCTGCCAGTCTTGTAGAAGTACTTTGCACTTCGAAGGTGCAAAGCACATACCATACCTACGGACACTGATTGCCAACTGATTAAGTGCGGATTGCATGCCTTGGGCATTATCGCACAGTAAGACAATATCGTCCGCATACTCAAGGTCGAGAAGTCTTTCTCCAGGCAACAGATCCACACCACCATTACTTACATTCATCAGAGCTGTTTCCAGAATGTCATCGATGGCAAAGTTGAAGAGGAATGGTGAGATTGGGCAACCCTGCCTAACCCCACTGCTCGAATGGAACAATGGAGAGAGGTGGTTGTATGCCCTCACTCTGCCTGAGGTGTTTTTATATAGGGCTTTTAGGATGTTAATAAACTTCTCAGGCACACCCTTCTTCAATAGACAATCCCAGAGAACAGTCCTGTCCAACGAATCGAAGGCAGCCCTGATGTCAAGAAACACTACGATTGTTGGCCTTTGATAAGTATGGCGGTGTTCTAACATTTGGCGGAGGGTGAAGATATGATCAATACATCCTCGACCAGAACGAAACCCAGCCTGCTCCTCGCGAGTCAATCTTTCTCGGGTTTTGAACAACCTACGAAGTATGACGGAAGCCAATAGCTTGGACGCAATCGGAAGTAGACTTATCCCCCGATAGTTGTTACAGGAACGACGTGAACCCTTTTTAAAGATAGGGACAACTATCGACTCATTCCATGACGTTGGTACACTCTCTAGTTCCCAAACCTTTGTAAACAACGTCGTCAATTCCTTAGTCAAAAAGTCACCACCATCTTTAAAAAGAGCCGGAGGTAAGTCATCTGGGCCAGGTGATTTGTAACGCTTCAAGAGTTGGAGTTCCTTGCGGACTTCCTCCTCGTTTGGTGGATCAGTCGTCACCGGCCATGGAGGGCAGGACAGTCTGACCGATGTTGCCGGAGCAGCAGGCCAGTTGAACTGCCCTTCGAAAAATTCTGCCCATCGTCCAAGACGTCGATGGATGTTAGTGATTGGCATCCCATCATCCTCGCAGATTGTTTCACTCACACCAGACTTCTTGCTGCCAGTGGCTCGGATGAGCTGGAAGAGCTTCCGGTAGTTACCAGATGCAGCTGCTGCTTCCAGCTCATTAGCACGCTTCGACCACCAGGCTTCTCGGTCCTTACGCAAGCTTTGCCCAATTTCCTTACGTAACATCCTTCGTTTATGGTCAAACTCACGGTCACCCGGAGTAGACCGACGGGCTTCAATGAGTTGTAAGGAACCAGAAGAAACCCAGTGCTTAAAAGCGGGACGTTTCGCAAACCCACAACTGACTGTTCCCGCCATTTTCATGGCGTCATGCAATTGCAACCAATGCTCATCTATACTTTTCGGTGGAGTGGTAGCTAGCCTAGAGGCTAGCTCGGTTCGATACTTACTTGCAACAGAAGTTGCAACCAGCTTGCTAACATCAATCCGTTGGTGGTGGTCACTTCGTTGTCCACTGAAAAGTAAGGCAAGATTGGCGCAGACCAAGGCATGGTCAGAGTCCAGATAGGTACTCCAAAAGGAGCGGCAGTCTTTTACACAACCACGCCAGCGGTAGCTGATCGCGATGTGATCAATCTGAGTCCAGGCTTGAGATGCAGAGGGAGGACGCCAGGTGGCACATCGGCGATGACTGTGCCGAAAGTTAGTGCTAGCCAGAAACAGGTTGTGGTCTGTGCAAGTTGCAGTAGACGGTCCCCGTTATCTGACCTGCGACCAACAAGTCCCCATCGGCCACCTAAACGACTCTCTTCTGTGCCTAGACGCCCGACCTGAGCATTCAAGTCTCCGGCTAGTACTACAATATCTGTCGAACGCACTTTCTGGAGAAGAACAGATAACTGGTGGTAAAACTCATCCTTGATTGCATCCGGGCTGCAATCTGTCGGGGCATAGGCGGAGATGACGAAAAGACATCGTTTCTCACGCCGATTTCTTCTCACTTTGATGGAACTTTCTAATCTAACAGCACATAACCGACTGTTAATGGGGATCCAATCGACTAGTGCTGCCTCAGCTCTAGCGCTTAGTGCGACACCAACGCCAGCAAGACCAGACGAAGATGCCACAGGGTCCCCGGATAAGCGCACGTAAAACAAGCTTTTCGAAGCGACAGATGGAGATCGAATTTGTAGTACTTCGCCAGAGTCTTGAATACGGGTCTCGGATAGACAACAAACATCAATATTAAGACTTTCCAAAGACATAGCCAGCCCTATCTGTTGTCCGACCTGCATAAATGTGCGAACGTTGAAGGCAGCCAGTTTGAATGGTGCACGTGGTTTCAGAAAAACTGCTTCAGTCTTCGTATTCGGTGGTAACATACAATTTTCAACCGGACAGTGACTCGAGAACGTTTAGATACAGTCGAATTTCCACCATAGACGATCTGATGTATAATTCGGTAAATAAGTATAAACAGAGTGGGAATAAAAGTGGGTGAATAATGACGTAAATAATAATAATAATAATAATAATAATAATAATAATAATAATAATAACAATAATGCGAGTCACTTGATTGTTATTTGGGGCGAGAGGAATATTTTTCATAAGTAGATAGTTTATCATGCTTGTGTGTGCGAGCTGAGATACTGCCCGGGTGCCCAAACCGAAGCAGATGGTTTTCTTAGGGGACCACACCCCGAGCCTTTGACCTGAAGGTCTAACCCACAAGGCAGTGGAGCATCGTGAGGAGATGCATTCCCATGGTAGCCGGTGACCAAGGATTTGGTTCATACGCCATTTGTTCCTTCAGGATACTGGAGCCCATGTGCACCATTGGTTTGGGATCCGGTTAAAGCGCCGGACATTCGCTTTTTGTCCTCTCATTTTTGTAAACAACACCCCCGTCGCGAGAAGGCAGTGGGTAGAACTTCCCCGGCAGAGGCTGTATACTCGTGGCCGTGTGAAAGTATTTCGAGAGGGAGGGCGAACCCACCCCGCTCGCGGCCATACCAGGGCATTTGAGGGCATGACTGAGTTACTATAAAAAATGCACTATTATGTTGAAATCAATCCTTTATTTAAGATAGGTCCTGTATCACTTTTCAGTACTAGAATTTTTTCTCTGAACTACATATAAAGAAACGAAAATATGGGTTTAACATTTCATTAGTTAAATGTAGATAACAAACTAGTGTGTGTACAGTAAAGGTGAGTTTAAAATTGACGAGCGCTGAAATCTCATGTTAGATAATCTTGTTTGTCTATTCGCTGGTAAATAGTATTCAGTATAAAGCATTAATCATTGTGGATCGATTTTGTAATGATACATCTTTTTAAAAAAATGTTACAGAATAAGAAAGACAGTTGAGAGTGAGGAGGAAAAAAGGGAAAATTATATGTGAAATATTGATTTATGTTAAAATGATCCGGTTAGGTCGACACGTACCAAACAAGTGACCTTATCAAAACTAAAGAGTATGGGTAGTGTTACTGGGTGTAGATATCGATTTCAAGACGATGAATTCCCTATAACGCGTCAACGATGTATGATAAATTATTTCCTGTTGGTACAATAAAACTCTGTAACTTATTTTGATCAAACAACCTGCTCTAGGTATTCAAAAATATTCTCTGTGTTCTGAGATAGAGTTGTTTTGATAATCATACTTTGTTTGATTTACCATGTTAGTTACGCTTCAAGAACAAGCCTTTTAGATTAGAAGTTGTATACAATAAATGTATATTACTTCACTGAGATAAGTACGGTTGTAGATTATCTCTTGTTTTCATTTTTATTTACCTTCTTCCATCCATTATCCTTTTCCATCTATTTTTTCTCACTAGAAACTTTAATCAAGTGTTGTGACCTATCTCAACTATGGTATCGTGAATTCTTCCTAGAAATGACTAATGGTGCTTGTATACAATTTCCAATTGAAATGAGTTTACCATGGATATTCACCGATCATATTCTAGAAAGTGAACATCCTGGTTATACGGAATATCTACTCTATATGCTTGATCTTTACAATGATGCTGCTGATTGTGCATTAAATCGATTTCGAAGACGATTTCTGTATGAAGAAATCGAGGCTGAAGCGAATTTAGTCTTTGACCAACTTGTTTATAAACTAAGTGATAAAATATTTCGACACTATAAACGCTATGCATCATCAATTTTATTAGACAAACGATTTCGAGCTGAAGCCCAACGTACTGCTTCATGGCGTGAACCTTATCCACCGCCTAATCGTTATACTGCAGCTTTGCTTCGACAAAGAAATATTCAATTGCTTGGTCGTTCTGTCGATATAAACCGATTAATTTGTCAGAGGATGACTAAAGCAATATACAAATCAATTGAAGTTGCTATTTCACGTTTCCATAGTTCAGATATAACAGGAATAATTGTAAGTTTGACGTTTATTATTATCATTGTTATTGCTTTTTGTAATACAGTACTATTACACTTGATCATGAACTAATATCGTTTAGAGTAAAAGAATATAACTTGAAGAATTCTTACTCCCTACCATTAACAATAGACTGTCGACCAAACTCATCAAATGTAAAAGTCATATACAGACTAGCAAGTTTATATGAACACCCAACTGGTCATGAACTGTACGTCTTATCACTGATAAATCATTTATCAGGTTTGAATTTATGCACCTGACTTTGAGTCACATTTTATACGTGTGAGCTAGTGATGCTACCCCGGTTGCCCAGACCAAAGCCGGTGGAGCAAAGTTTGAACCTGGGACCTTAGCATTCGAAGGTCGAACGCCTAAATCATTAAACAGTCGCTCTTTCTTACCATTTAAAGAGAATAATGGATCTTTAATATGATTTATTTACAGTAAGTAGAGAATCAATATATCGCTTCATATCTTTCTTTCTACGAACTAATTCTTTCTTCCCGTACTATGTCCTTATACGCAATCTTTCTTTTCTATATTGGCACCCTTGATTTAACTACTCTTATGAATCCGGTGTCCATCTTTTTGTGTTAATGAGGTATGGCAACTTGGACGATGCATATATATGCCTCGTTCTACGTTGTAGCTGACTGACTGACTTAATATTTTCATAGTTTTGTTATTGTAAATAAGTAAAACAATCTAATTCATCTCATTACACACATCTATCCAAAATATATTATTCAATGAAAATAAATTTTACAACCTCATAAACTAGAACATGTATCTGAAATGAGACTAACCATGCACTGTTATTTATTGAATAGATTTGGACGCTTGTGATATACTTTAAAATGAACATTTTGGAATAGTTATGGATGTTAGCTTTCTACGCACTGAAATTAAAACATCTATCCGATTGATGGTTGAAAGTTAAAGAAAGAAACTAATGATTCATAATTGTACTAGATGTATGTAGTGATCATCATATAAAGATTTAGTTGCACCAATAATTACATCAGGCTCTTATTTATTCTACTTTTGGGCTAGTTGTTCTATTTTGGAATCCCATCTGACTGGTCTCAATCACTGATTGTGCCAGTCTATAAGAAATAAAAAAAGTCCTCTTGTGACAATCACAGAGGAAGCAGTTTGACTAATACAGTGTCTAAAATATTAACTTCAATAATACTTCGACGCCTAACTAAAGCTCGTGAAGAGCAGGCTAGAGAAAACCAGGCTGGTTTTCGACCTGGACGTGGTTGTATAGACCAGATGTTCACATTTCGTCAGGTTCTAGAACACAGACACAAGTTCAGACGCCCCACAATGGTAGTATTTCTCGACCTTAATGCAGCATTCGACTCTGTTGATCGTGAGGCTCTATGGCAGTGTTTGTCATTGAAAGGAGTACCAAAGAAGTACATTAACCTTATAAAGGCTCTCTACTCGAACACAACTGAACTGGTAGAGTGAGAGCTTATGGCGAACTGTCATCAGAATTGATTACCTCAAGTGGTGTTCGTCAGGGCTGTCTACTCTCTCCATTCTTGTTCAACTTTGTCGTTGAAGTGCTTTCAGAGATAACACTTTCCTCATCTAAATTTTTGGGGGTTGAACTTCTGCCGGGAGACTCACTTCTTGACCTAGAATATGCCGATGACATAGTTCTATTTGGTGAAGACGCTGACAAAATGCAGTCTTCTGATCACTCTAAGCAACAATGCAAGCATGTTCGGGATGCGATTCTCCCCTCGAAATGCAAAATGTTGCTTCAGGATTGGGTTGCATCGACACCCGAACTAATGATAGAGAGTGAAGTAGTTGAGCGTGTCGACCGCTTTACTTATCTTGGAAGTCTCATCAGCCCTTGTGGTCTGGTGTGTGACGAAATCTCAGCAGGGATACAGAAGGCTCGACTAACTTTCGTCAACTTGTGTCATTTATGGCATAGGCGAGATATCCGTCTATCAACCAAAGGATGGGTTTACTGCGCAGCAGTTCGTTCCGTCCTACTTTATGGCAGTGAAACATGGCCGGTAAGAGAAGAGGATATTTGTAGGTTACTAGTATTCGATCATAGATGTCTTTGAAACATTGCTCGTATATCCTGGGACCATCGAGTAAGTGACGCAGTTGTTAGGAAACTGGTACTAGGTAAGGATGGCAAATCCATTGATGAAGTAGTGAAACTTCATCAGTTGAAATGACTGGGACACGTGTTACGTATGCCCAACCACCGACTGCCTCGACGTGCTATGTTCTTTGGTATAGGAGTAGGTTGTAAGAAAGCTAGGGGCGACCAGACCAAAATATGGCACAAGTCCATGAAGTCACTGACAAGTGAACTGAGCCATGTTGGTAGGTGTAGACTACCTGGTTGGGGACCGCGAGATGATAGCAACCGATGGTTAGAGACCTTGAATGAAATAGATCAAAATCGTTTGCAATGGAGCAGGTGCATCCACTCTTTGTGTTCTCCCAAATTCTAATCTTCTGAATTCTTCATGTCCACCATTTTCTTTCCAAATTTATTTCACTGGATTATACTCTTTGAATAACATCTTCAAACCCTAATGTGTTCCGATTACTGCTTATACTCTTACTACCTCTACCACTACGGAATTTGAGTTGACAACTGCATCTCTATGCTAATGTGGTGTGAAAACTCGAACTGATTTACGTACGTACGAAGTTCTACTTTGTTGCTGATTGACTGACTGATTTTTGATTCCATTATACATGTAGTTTAGTTTAAAAACTTTACAAAATTTATCTATCATTCATATATATACACTGAACAGGATGTTAAATGTGATGAAATTCTGGAAATATACTTAATATATACGCATAGTGTATGTGTATGTGTATCCATTCTTTCCAATCAATTAACCATAGAATACTTGATTAATTATACAGTCGATTGTTTATACGTTTCAATAGATGGATCATTTATAGGATGATGGATTCATTTATTTTATTTTATTTTTTCTTAAAGTCTTGTTCATTATTGATTAATTTGTGATCAATTGATATATTTCGACGGTTGCTTACGCCTGTTACTCCTCATGAAGGAGCATAGGCCACTCACCATCATTCTCCATCCAACCCTGTCCTGGACAATCCTTTCCAGCCCTTTCCAGTTTTTATTCACCCTTTTCATATCTGCTTCTATTTCCCGACGTAATGTGTTCTTTGGCCTTCCTCTTTTTCGTTTCCCTTCAGGATTCCGAGTTAGGGCTTACCTGTAGTTCTTCTTGACTTCCTGCAGGTCTCAAGCCCAGGTAAAGAAGTAGGGTTGGGCATGAGGTCGGCAATCCCATCCCGTAGAAAAAATCTTGCTAAAAAACGCCAACTAGATTGAAACTTTTCTTTACACATTGCACAAAGTACCTGTCGGCTAATGAAGGAGTAGGCTGGAGGAAAGAAAGGATTAACTAATTCATTGATAATTGGTTTGAGTTATGTTGGTAGACGTTCGGTACACTTCATTAAGTTCCTCGCCATAATTATAGTCATTAGTTAGAGGTGTTGATTAACTTAACTCAGAATCAATCACAACGACTCATACCCATGTACTCTTTTTGTTCCTTTAGATTTGCAGTTTCAGAACTGTTTTGTAACCTTTATTCTGCAAATTCATTCTTCTTGAATCATATTGTCTGTGGTTAATGCTTCCTATTATCACCGATTCTTCTGCTACTTTGGTATTGATTCTGATCATTTTATCTCATTGTGGTGTAACAACTTAAATCGATGCACATATATGCTAAGTTCTACGTTCCTTATGATTGACTGATGTTTGTAATCCTGCCAGCTGCATGAAAAATGGTATACAGTATTAACCTACTTTTAATCAGTCAGCCGAATAGAATCTAATAACCATGAATATTTAGGTTGTGATTTAAACTAGTATAGCTGAAACGTAACCAATCACTAAATTACATTATTGCATATAATAATGAGCAAATAGTTTATATTCATCTACATTATATAAATCACAATTATGTCAATTATTATAGTTGTATATTTAATAATGTTAAATAAATCTTGTTTTTGTATATATATACTATAATGACTATACCTTTATATTTATAGGAATTGGAAGCAGCTATTGAATGTAATCGACTTTGTCATAGAATGTTGAGTGAACAATTGGAATTAGATGATTTTGATGCATTATTACGTGAAGCGGATAATTTAGTCACTTCTAGATTAGGAAAAATTACTGTTCATGTATTTTGGGAATTAACATATGATCTTGTTAAAAATTACTGTTATAATGATGCTACTAACAGGTTAGAAAGAGTTTTGTTTTAATTTTATGATTAAGTATTAAGTTTTCTACAATATTTTAACCGTTTTAAAAATACTCATTCTATTAAAATACTGATATATGTATGAAGAATATTCTTTTCAATTGATGCTCATCAAATGGACATCCAAGTTTTGAGCGAATTACATAATTATTTATTTAAACGCATAAACATTCGTACAAGGAGGTATCAAATAGATACACACCACATAAATCATTCGATTCATGTGACGGCTGGGATCCTGCTCGGGTGCCCAAACCGAAGCAGGTGGTTATCTTAGGGATTATACTCGGAGTCTTTGACCTACAGGTCTAATCCACAAGACAGTGGAGCAACGTAAGGAGATGCAGTCCGATGGTAGCCGGTGACCAACGACAGGTTTATACGCCATGTGTTCCTTCAAGATACTGGGGCCCATGTGAACCATTGGTTTGGAATCAGGGTTTTACAACTCCCCTAAGTGGACTTTCCGTGTCCAGTAATCCGGTTAAAGTGCCGAACATTCGCTTTTCGTCCTCTCAAATTTTGTAAACAACACCGGTGGTGCGAGAAGGCAATGAGTAGGACTTCCCTGCTGGTGGTTGTATGCACGTGGCCATGTGAGGACATTTGGAGAGGGAGAGCTGACTCTCCCCACTCTCAGCCGTACTAGGGCATTTGGGGGCCAGTTTGTTCCCTACAAATTGATTTGTTAAGTTAAAGTATATCAATAGTGAAGTTGTGACAAAAAAACAGTCGCTTTAATAAACCACGTGCAATAAACGAACGCGTAGATCATTCCGTAAAGTAGATAAATCTAGACGCTTTATGTAAGTAAGCGAAAAATCCGGAGTCAACCGAAAGACAAGTATAAAATACGTATTCACCAGTATATATATGTTTATCACTCTGATTTATTCTACATTTAATATTCTTAAAAACCAGATAATTATTTAAATTTTTAAAATCTGCAAATAGATTTGTACCAACAAATTTTACATTAACTGAAGTGTTAGAACGTGAGAAACCGCCAACAGTTGAGGCTCAATACGTTTGGGGTAGTCGTTCGTTAAATACATGCTTTGAAACTATATTTAAATTATATCGTGGTTTTGTTGGTGCACCTCACTTTTCTGCCATTTGTCGTTTATTGGGTTATCGAGGTCTGTTTGTTGTTACGGCTGAAGTAATGAAAGTTGCTCAATCATTGGTACGTTTAATTTGTTTGACTTGATTCTTTATTTTGAATAGTGATTTCTTTTTGTGTATTAGTTTAATGGTTTATAAAGTTATTTTATTATTTATATGTCTTCGGAATATTCATGTGTCGCTTGACTGACTGTGAAAAGTAACATCAGTCTCATTTCTTATACAACATTTTTGTTTCATAATGAAGTTTGTCGTTTATCTTGTTCTGAATAGCTGACTATTTGCTTCCATTTGTTATACACCAGTAGTTTTTTGATTGTTAGCATAAATGAATAGATGATATACCAGAGACCGAGCTCATGATTTGAGCCGTCAATTAAGCTGATATAAAAAAAAAGACAAGACATGCGTGATGGGATAAATGTCTGATGAAATAACATACTTGTAAACAAAATGTGGAACACAAAACTAAACACGATTATACACCAAATGTGATTAAGATATACAGATTTCATAGGTCGTTTAAATGCTAGGGAAATTAAAATATGAGTGTTAGATTTCATTCTTTCGCTGTCATATTACTGTTATCGATTTGAATTCGGATGATATGAATAGTCTGCGCAACCAATCTACTTGTTCTTCAAAAGGATCCACCTATTTATAGTGCCTTTCTCGTAAGGTCGTTAATGTCTTATCATTGGTGTCTTCAAAGCATTGTTTGTGTTTATTGAAACAATTGGGTGAGGATTTTTGGTGCTATATATAGAGTAAATTGACGAAGTCAGTTGACTGACTCATGTGGCTGTAAAACTTGATAAAAATGACTGAGGGATCTATTTAGAAGTGCTGCATGCTTGTTTTAATGATAGTTTATGAGTAGATTAAAAACTCTCAGGTCAAGATGTAAAATCATCTCACGAGGTTATTCAATACTAATTGAGTTGTTTTTGGAGATATGAACTTCTTGGTTGGAATCTACAGAAGTACAGACGCATTCTTTGTGCTCCCCCCCTCAACTCTTGCGAAATCTATTATTATTGAATAAAAATCCTTTCTTAGGTTTATAAAATTATTTGTCACGAACTTCAGTAAAAGAGATTCCCATCAAAATGTTCGATGGACGAAGATAATTTTCAGACCAAAAAATATGGGTACATTCAGATGTTAGTGAATGCTCATGTGTTACAGGATCAGAATCTATCGAATAGTGAACATTTGATTGATTGTCCAAAGCTTAACTCGTTTTCTCAAGTTTGCTGTTCGCTATCTCCAGTTAATTTCGAAATGAGTATTGAAAGTAAGATTTTTGAAATCATATCATTCAACTTATTCTCCGGTTACTACAAAATAAAAACGCCATTTTATGTTATAGTTCATCAATCTGTCATACTCAATTGCATACAGTATTATAACCTTTTTGTCGGCTAGTCCCCTAATCATTTAGTAATTTCTTCCTATATTTATTGTTGGAAGTTATTCCGACTTATATCATTGTAAATTTATCATCAAGATTTCTTAAAATGTTTTTTTTTCTATCATATCAGCTAAATCAAACATTACGCGATTATGTTTGCCGATTAGTGCTTCTTATGCCTCAATCATTGATACTTCCATCAGAGAAAGCTGAATCTGATGCTGTATTCTCGGCTTTATACACTCAATTACATCAAATCTATAAATATACAGATTTAAGAACTAATGTATTTCAAAATTTTCGTGAATTTGGAAATATTCTTATCTGTTGCTTACAGTTAGAAAAGAATTTAGTAAGTTTATCCAAATAACAAGTGTGAATTTTCAAAGAAATGAAAATAAGTTTCACTTTTATGAAATACTACGAACACATTGGTTGTTAGTATTCCCTGTCCGAGTTATGATTATCAAGCAAAATGATCTAGCTACAAGTGAATGGAATAGTCTTTTACTAACGATAACTAAAATTAAAGTCAATTATACGAGGAGAGGTTTGACTTCACTCTTGTAAAATGTAAATATGCAATTGCGATTTGATTCAGTATTAAAACAGTGGCTCAATAGTTAAGGCGTCCGGCTTTTAGTCACTAAATTACAAGTTCGAACCCGTCACACTTTCGATTTGGTTCTAGGTCAAGTACGCAAATAACCTGGTAGATGATTTATTACTGATAATAAGTATGGTCTGAATTTATTCCTGATATTATAGAATATTAGAGAATTATGTCTTTTTTAAGTGAATGCCATTGGTATAAATTTATTCCTCACGTTTATATCCAGCTGGTTAGAACTGATTGGTCGTTAAAATAATCTTGTTGATCTCTTCGACTAAATCTAGCTACTCGGTTGAAGAAAATAACTCCATTCAGCTGATTACGTGAATTTTTCAATACCATGTGAAATAGAAGATTGAGATGATAGAGAAGATTTGTAGCTCAGGTGGATGATTTTGATGGAGTTTTGTGCTCTGAACTGGATGGTTTAGTCGTAAAGCTTTCATCGTTCTTCTGAACTACATCATCAGCACAAACTTCAGGTAGAATTGAAGTTTTCGAATTTCTCCACATGTGGAGGAGATTCGCCGGTGTATGTTGCGATAAACAGAGTAAAAAAAATCGTTAGAACGTATACTAGGATGTTGTTAAAATTGCCGGTCTTTAGTTAATATGAACAAGTGTAAATCTTAAACACAATTTTAAGATTTTATAGGAAAAGAAGAGGTAGATGAAGACATGCCATAAAAATGCTATACAGCAGTACTACTCTGACTGTTTGTAAGGTTAAAACTGAATTCATCTGTTTCGCTGGAGTGATGGATGATGACTCATGTTTGTAAAATAAAGACTAATGAAATATGGGAATTAGTCCTTTTGATGTTTATTAACGTACACATAGGGAGGAGAAATCGTGATCTGCAGGTAAGTGGTTGAACACATACCAAAATGGCTAAGGAAACAAATAAACTCCGATGATCTTCCGCAATCGAGAAATATTCGGTTGAGACGGATCATAGGGTCGATATCAATCAGCCTCTATAGTGCTATAAAAAGAGTTTTCAGCGTCGTATACTAAGATCTATTGAAGTCTTGTCTATGAAAAAACTGGATTGGCTTTTGTGTTCAGAAACATTTCGTCCTTACTCTTAGCCTACTTTAATTTGTTACCAAAGTGATGAGTTTCAGATTGTGTACTTTTTATTAATTTTGTTTCTGTATACATTCTTTCTTTTTTATTTTTCATACATAATGTCTTAACAAGTATAAGTGTAATCAGATTGTTCGAAACATAATTCTGATAATCTTTGTCTTCTCATTGTATCGCTCTAATGAAATATGATTAACTGCCTTGTAAAGTTTACCGATATACATAATATATATATGACAGAAAATCTGCAAGGTTGAACCTGCTTCTCTATGATGAATACTAATGAATGGTTATCAAAGGAGACCTCCTTAATCAATTTTTGTTTGTTTGTTTAAGTAATAATTAATTTTATGTTCTTACTATTCTGAGCTATTTTACATTCTAGTCAATTGAAGATTCATGTGATCTTCGTCATGCAGGGCCTTTTATTGGACAAATGCCAAGACAGTTCTTCCCTCCTATTCCATCTCATGAGGGTAAGTTGTTCATAATCCTTATATTTAATTATATAAATTTCAAGTTTTTATTTACTTCTCAATTTATCTGTCTAAAAAAATTGACAATGTTTTCCTAATAAACACAATTATGTTTTTAGGGCTATAGGATAAATGGTAAGAGTTCCTAAAATTTGAACTTATCATAATTATATAAATTCATACTATTTCTCTACTGTCGTTGTTTTTGGTATATTCAAATATTTCAATGGTTGTGATCATGAGTCATTTGAAGCTAGACCACCATGGAAAGCCTGGAATCGTTGAACGACCGTTGTGGGCACTTGTCAGTAGTGCGCATCCACGGTGTCTCGCTCAATTTCGTGGATTGGTTGAAGTTAGACATTAACACCGTTGAATTGCCAGCCTGGTTAGTGATTAAGCGATCGCAAGGTGGGATCGTGGATGTGCACTGCTGAGGAGTCTCACAGTAGGACGAAACGACCGTTCAGTGCTTCCAAGTTTTCTCATGGTGGTCTAGTTCCAATCGACTCATGATCTCAACCATTGAAATTACTATAATATCCACAAAAACGCTTCTGATATTCAAATATAACATTTTAGTTCATTTCCAAAATTTAAAATCATCAATATTTCTTTCATCTTATCATGAAACCAAGGTACTTAGGAAAAACAAACAATACCGAATTCCCTAAACGGATTCTCTCTAATAATCAATATTCTATTTATTTCAAATTATTTAATCATTGCTTACTTTACTCATTACTTAGATTTCTTTATCAGCTTTAAAAAGTAGTTTATTACTTATCAACTCAAGAAATTCTATACATTCCCCATATTTATTCAAAATTTTTTTACTCAATGAAAAAAAGACAGAAGCGAAACTGAACATTTGTCACTTAAATTGTATATAATCGATTTCGTAGAGTTATCTTGTTAGTGGCCTCCGAATTCCCTGGTTCGGCTGAGAATGGGGAGAGTCAGCTCTCCCTCTCTAAATACTTTTACATGACCACGTGCATACAACCACCAACAGGAAAGTCCTACTAACTACCTTCTCGCAACACGGGTGTTATTTACAAAATTGAGAGGACAAAAAGCGAATGTTCGGCAGTTTAACCGGATTACGGGACACGGAGAGTCCACTCAGGGGAGTTAGAAAACCCTGATTCCAAATCATTGGTGCACATAGGCTTGAGGATCCTAAGGGAACAGATGGCGTATAAGCCTGTTGTTGGTCACCGGTTACCATCGGACTGCATCTCCCAACGTTGCTCCACTGTCTTGTGGGTCAAACCTTAAGGTCAAAAACTCCGAGTATGATCCCCTAAGATAACCACCTGCTTCGGTTTGGGCACCCGAGCAAGATCCAAGCCGTCACATGAATCGAATGATTTATGTGGTGTATATCTATTTTGGTGCTTCCTTGTATGAATGTTTATGTGTTTAAATAAATCTTGTTAATGAGTTAGAAAAATTCTTGATTCAATGGTGTAGAGTTTTGTAAATATTTATTGATTTTAGTCACTAGTTACTATGCAATTGAAAAAATGTATCATTTAATTAATTTTTCTTTTCTTTTCTATTGATTTTTTTTTTCATTATTTAAACTTTAATTTAAAAAAACTCAATGAACAATTTCCTAAATCAATCAATCAATCACCCTTATTTGTTTTTAGTCAAAAAAAAACAAACAATGATCGAAAACTTAACATGAATTCTGATAAAAACCCCACTAATAACAGATATCAGCATCATGAAGTATGTCATAGAAGAATGAAAGAAACCTGTGAAATCCCATTTCTTTTTTCATGGTGTTGATATTTTCGACAGTTTCATTGGACTGTTTTTTGTTGTTGTTGCTGTTGTTGATACATAGACTTTGTATATTGATAAGGACTAGAATAGAAATATAGATCATATAGACATATGTAATATTCTTTTCTAAAGAAGTTTTACTTTCTTCATGATGATTAGTGTCTGACAAATACAAAGGATACACCTGAAGAATTGGGCAAATCCTGACTTGTGTGTATGATGCATTTCTTGATATTCTGTTATATCAAAATTGTTTCTATATAATAATAATAATAATAATAATAATAATAATAATAATAATAATATAATAATAATAATAATGAGATATATGTATTGTACAACTAGTTCACTTATTATTGCTGATATTGTTCCTTCTTATTCTCTATTACTCATTATAGAAGGATTAAAAGGTAAATCAATTAATGAATTAAGACGTGAACGTGAAATTCAATACAAAGAATTACAAAAGAAACAAGAATCAATGAATATTGTATTAGTTGTATCACGTATTGGTACTGAAGATGTAAGTTAATAAAATCTTATATACAAATCTACGTGATCTCTATATGTATTTATCATTCTCTAATCTTGTATTATATATTTTTTAAAATAGCGTTTCCTTTTTGTTCATTTTCTTAGTCGTTTCATTGTTTATATTGATTTAATTGTGCGAACTAATCTGTAGAGTATTATACTAGATTAATGCCCTGGTATGGCCGAGAGGGGTGGGCCCGCCCTCCCTCTCGAAATGCCCTCACATGGCCACGCGTATGCAGCCTCTGCCAGGGAAGTTCTACCCACTGCCTTCTCGTGACGGGGGTGTTGTTTACGAAAATGAGAGGACGAAAAGCGAATGTGCGGCGCTTTAACCGGATTCCAAACCAATGGTACACATCGGCTCCAGTATCCTGCGGGAACAAATGGCGTATGAACCAATCGTTGGTCACCGGCTACCATGGGACTGCATCTCTTCACTATGCTCCACTGCCTTGTGGGTCAAACCTTAAGGTCAAAAGCTCGGGGTGTGGTCCCCTAAGAAAACCACCTGGTTCGGTTTGGGCACCCGGGCACTATCACAGTCCTCACACAAATCGAATGATTTATGTGGCGCATATGTATTTGGTGCCTCCTTGTACCAATATCTGTGTTAAAATAAATAAATAAATAATGATAACTAGATTAATTTATAACTGAATTTGAGATAGATGAAATCTTGTAATAATCAGTCATCATCTTAAGGTCTACCTACTAATATGTATCAATTTAAATTGTCCAATTTTATATCAGCATAGAAATACAGTGAAAACGGACAAAGTATGGAACAAAGGTGAGGTACTAATTCAATCTACAAAGGAAAGTGAAACAGATGGTATATATATATCAAGATTTTTCTTTTTAAATGCCTCCTATTTAGTAGTGGGTAACCAGTATTACTATTATTTCTTCATTAAACTCCATGCTGTCACATATTCCACTTAAAATGTTTCAATCGGTTAACGAAAAAAACTATACATTTTTCTTCCATTGAATAGTAAATAAACTAATTTGTCTAAAAGCGATATCTTATATACTAAAATATAACTGTACTGCATAACAGTACAATCTTCTATAGTTTATAACTGTGAAATGTGGTTTTTAAAATTAGATGGCATACGTATTTTACTATTACTTGATCTTAAATGTAGTGTTATCAAGTAAAGATATCAAGTTGGATGACGAAACTAAATTTCTCATAACTAAGTGGTTGACATATATATTACGTAATCCCAACCACTGCCAACCTCGACACATGATGCTGGTTGAAGTAGTTGTAGTTTAGAAGAAACCCAGGAGCAACCGAAACTACCGGTAGCATCAATTCATATTGCTTATTGAATGTCAGTCTGAGTCATGTTAGTAGGTGCAGACTGCCTAGCTAGAGTCATCATGATAATCGGAATCACTGGTTAAAGATGCCCTGTCACACAGCTTAAAGTCAATCGCAATGGACCATGCGCATTTACTGGAAAATGTATCATCGATGCTATCTGGATAATCGTAGCTCAATATATCGGATATTGTGCAAAGTTTAAAATGTAAAGGATTGAGTCTGTATTTAAATTCCCTGAAGTAATGTAGTTACTCTCCTACGGCTACTGTCAGTCTTAAACCCGGGTAAAGGAAGAGTGTTGACATGGGATCAATAACCCTATCCCGTAGAATACAACCTTGCTAAAAAACACTAACCATAATAAACAAATTAAACTATTTTAACTCGTCGCTGACACTTGAAGGATCTTCATTCACAGGAATTATCATGCCTCAGGGCGAAACCCGAGATTATTCGGAAGTCAGAAGGCCGATGCCCCTTCTTACAACCGGAACAACAGTTTTTATAGGTATATAGAATGTTCATACAATGTGGGAGACCGGGAGGACCAGTCAAATGGCAACAGAAACGAGAAGATACAATTTGACAGTGCTCGAAATAAATGAAACCCATTGGACACATGCTCGACCGAAAAGGATATATTCGGGAGAGATGCTACTGTACTCTGGTCACGAAGAGGAAAATGCTCTATACACTCAGGGAGTTGCTCTGATGCTATGCAAAGAAGCACGTTAAGAACTTATAGGATGGGAATCTCATGGACCCAGAATAATCAAATCATCCTTCAAAATAAAGAAGAAGGGAATCACAATGAATGCTATCCAATGTTGTGCACCCATCAATGATAGCAATGATGACAATAGACGCACCACACTACGATCGGTACCAGGACTTTGCAGACGACGTAATTCTTCTATTACAAAGACACGAACAAATGCGAGTCCAGACAAACAGTGTAGCAGCAGCCTCTGCATCAGTAGGACCCTACATACACAAGGGAAAAGCAAGATCCTCAAATACAACACGGAGAACACTAACCCGGTCGCATTAAATGAAGAAGCTCTAGAACAAGTGGAGTCTTTCACGTACCTGGGAAGCATCATCGATGAGAAAGAAGGTTTTGGTGAAGACGTAAAGGCAAGGATCGGCAAAGTAAGGGGAGCATTCCTACAGTCGAAGAACATACGGAATCCAAAACAACTGTCAACCAATATCAAAGTCAGAATCTTCAATACGAACATCGAGACAGTTCTACTGTGCAGAGCTGAAACTTGGAGAACTATCACAACCATAATGAAGAATTTACAAGTATATATAAACAACTATTTACTCAAGATACTCAATGTTTTTTGTCCGGATACCATCAGCAACAGCCTACTGTGGTAAAGAACAAACCAGCTTCCAGCTGAAGGGGAAATTAGGAAAAGATAATGGAAGTGAATGGGGCATACATTTGGGAAATCGTCAAACTGCATCACGAGACAAGCGCTAACTTGGAATCCTGAAGGGAAACGAAAAAGAGGTAGGTTAAAGAACATACTGCGTCGAAAACTGAAAACAGACATGAAAAAAGATGAATGGCAACTGGAATGAATTGTCCATGGCAGAGTTGGATGGAGAATGTTAGTGAGCGGCCTATGCTCCTCAAAGAGGAGGCATAAATTTGCGCATAAATTTGCGCGTAAGTGTAGTTACTGCAAAACCTGGATGTTAGGAGTGCAATTTCCCATAGAGCCACTCTTGAGCACCACTGAAGTAGTTCCAACCTAAAATAAAACAGATACCTCTATTTCAGTGATTCTTCGACAGGTATTAGCCCGTGATAAAAACCATCTACAAACTAGACAAAACTCCATAAAACACACAACTATACAATTTTTAGTGTTAAAAAAACAAAGATGACAAGAAATGAATTCAAACACATGATCTACTGGTCGAAATAGTAGTTGAAGGTAGTTGTCAGGAGATCCTGAACGTAGGTTACGTGCTGTATGGCACTCATTAGCAAGGTGTACCTGTAATCGTGAGGGAACCGATGCTCCCTGACGGATTCAATGTCGTGTCAACCAGTTTCACGGGTAATTCAACTTACCAAGTGAAACCTTGAGTTATTTTCATGTTGAATTTACTCCTTTTAATTATAATCTCTCTCTCTTTTCTTCTATTCACACAGCAATTGTCCTTAGCTAAAGAGAATGAAATATTAACGAAAGAGAGACTTTGTTCTGGTTTAACACTATTCGAATTTGTAAGTTATGATTCTTCTAATCGTAACAACAGAGATGATTTTCAAACATAATTTCCGGCCGTATAATGAATTGTTTGTCATTGAATGCTTCAATTTATAAAACATATTTCAGTGGATGGCTCCGTAATATAGGACATACAAGCATAGTATACCGAAATCTATGGTGTACGTAGTTGCTTTGCCCCTTGGGCTACTTAATAACTAATTAGGACGTGTGTAAAACAGTTACATATTTGAGATGTTTGTAGGAGTGCTAAAAATTTATGTATACCAGATGCAATAATTGTACGGAAGGACACTAGTTGTTTCAGCAAGCTACAACGTAGAACCAGACAAATATATGCATCGGTCCAAGTTGCCATACCTCATTAGCACAATAAGATGAACACCAAATTCATAGAAGTAGTTACTTCAGTGACAGTAGCTGTCTACCTTACTTCGATTTCTCTACAGATTGCGAATTCATAATTAGAAATTCACATTTTTTATTGTTTTAATTTCTCCCGATTTTTTTTTCATTTTCTACTTCGCATGAATAGGTCCTTAATAAAATTAAAAATTTTCTTCATGAAGAAGATTCTGATGGAAATACTTGGGATCGTCTTTCCAATATTGCCAAACGTAGTTCTATATGTAATGGAACTACAACACATTATAATAATGATATACTCGGCTTAGAAAGTTATACACACTTTCATCGTCTATGGTCTGCTATTCAATTAGTATTCTGTACACCATTTGGGCAAAATGAATATACAGTTGAAGAAATGTTTGGTGAAGGATTAAATTGGGCTGGATGTGCAATCATTTTGTTATTAGGTCAACAACGTCATTTTGAAGCACTTGATTTTGGTAGTCTTATTTTACGACTACAACGAATCGATAAAAAAGATGCAACACCAATGGGAGTTGTACGTTTTATTATTATTTAAATAATAAGTTATATCTATGAATATGTTATTATATCTGTACGTTTTAATTTGACATTTTAATTGTTACTCTGGTAAATTATTCCACTGTTTTGATAGTTTAATTACTAAGTAATTTACAGAGAGTAAATTTAAATTGAAACGATTCCAATTTTAGTAAAGAGCTTTGAGTGCTTGATGGAATTTTGTTCACTGAGCTGGATGGTTTGCTCGTGAAGCTCTCATCGTTTTCCTGAATGACATCATCAGCACAGACTTCAGGTAGAAGTGAAGTGTTGGAATTTCTCCATATGTGGTTCATAGCTTGTCCTGTAGACCTCGATGTTGATTGGTTCTTATTGACCTTAAATTTGTCATTGTTTACTTCTTTGTTTTGGTTGTATCTCCCATTGGTTTGGTTTTTGTTCCTATGCACAATTTTCCTGATTGATTGATAAATTGAATCGATTTCAATGTGCTTGTTGATTGCTGATTGACCTGAGTGCCAAGCTTCTAAACATTCTCTGTTGTTTTTTTACTTACCTCTATAAGTACTGTTACTTGGTGACTCAACATACTAGAGTTCATCAGTCGATGTTAAAGTTATTTTATTTATTTTAAATTAATAGTTTCCCTCATTTTTTTTTACCATTTAGTCTTTGGAACGAATGGCGGCTCGTTTAAGTCGTTTCTCAGTACTCAATCGTCAAATATTTTCGACATTAAATATATATCTTCATCCTGTCGATCGACTGGATGAGACGAGTGTTCGTGTTCGACAGTTTCCTATACCTACCTGGTCCAAATCATAAACCATTATCGTTTTTTAAACCATGTAATTTGTTCCCCTTTCCAATTTTTTTTTTGGTATAACGCTTATTGTACTATAAACCACCTCAATTAATGGCATTTTATAGAGTTCCTTTGGTCTTTTTTTATATTTTGATCATACCGGTAATTTGTTTTGGTTGATTTACTGCTTTCCTGGTGTTTTTTGCTTTCTTATCTGTTTTTTTTCACCTCTTTTTCTAGAGAAATATGTATAAATAAATTCATAAGGAAAATAAAGTTAATTTATGGTGTTATATGATTAATGATAATAATGCTTTGTTAGTAAAATTACTTTTATGCGGATTAACATTCTTTTGTCGTGAAAATCCTGTTGTATTCGATGCGGCCTTGCTGAAATGATGTGTTCATACGCGGAGTTACTTTAGTCATCTTGAATAAAGCATTAAGATAGGTTTAAGTAAAATAACATAAATTCATTTTGTTTAGTTGTTTCTGACAGCTGCTTACAACCTATAATATGTAAAAATCATATTCACGAAATGGGTCTAAATTACTTACAAAAACGTGTTTAATTGTAACTTGCTTTGAAAATATCTCAGTACCATATAACAAGAATGTAGATAAATTTCAATCACCGAGTAGAGTAATACTAAACGTTCGATGAACTTGATTGCAGAAATGACCTAAAACCTAGTGGTGGCTTTGTAATGAACATACGAATAAAGTGAGTGAAGGTCAGGTAGAGAAATTATTTATCCAGAATAGTCGGAGAACCGTTTGTTTTTTACAACTATTTTCTAAACATGTCAGCTTTTTGACGTCCGGAATCAGTGGCTTTAAAAGGTTGGGGATCACCATGAACGATTTCACGACACCTACCAGATATGCTTTGTCGAAGGTTTACTGTGGGTTAGATCATTAGAAGTATTTCTATTTTATTTAAGTTCCTTAGCACACGTTCTATAATTCCAGGATATGCTCTGTTTTCGTTCTGTTAATGCAGTTGTTTGACAGACACATGTGAATTTATAGACGATTTGCAGTAACATGAAGTGAGACAGGAATAACTTATTCTGGAACCGTGCTGCTTCTCCGAAAGGATAAGATTTTCATCGAGATACTTAAACAGCTTCTTCCGAATAATCCTTTCTAAGATCTTAACAACCACACTGGTTAGGCTAAGGAGTCGGTAATTCTCAGGTTTATGTTTCCTACCTGTTTTGAAGACAGGACTTACTATGGCGTTTTTCCAGTCTTTTGGTAAACGACCCTGCGTAACGGATAGGTTAAAGCATGTACTTAAAGGGCTTGCAACGAAGTTAGATAATTCCTTCAGTAGCCTAGGATGCAATTCATCGGGATCCGTGGATTTATATGTCAAGCTTATTTAGCAGACCGGAGACAGTGAGTTTTTTAATTCTCACGCTACCCAGTGTATGTGTGGGGGTATTTGTATACGCTGACGGGAAGGGTGCTTCTATGGCATATACCTTGTTAAATTAGTTTCAGAACACGAGCCTTACCAAAGTCGTCCTCCACTAATGATGAGGCAGTACTGTCTGCCCATAGTGCAGGAATATTTCCCCTTCATTTTGTCCTTCGGTTTATATAAGAATACAAGCGTTTTAGACATTTTGTGGATTGATAATTTTCTCTTAGTATAACCTAGATTTACAGAGTGTCGGGACACAGGTATTACGAATTTTTCTATGCCCAGGTTTTGTTTCATCAGTCTCCAGTGACCCGAATGTATCCCACATTTTTCTTCTCTTACGGAGAAGGATGCGAACCTTCCTGCAGAACAATGATGGTGAGTTCCTTGGCCCCCTTGTTGTGGT